ATTATATAGTCTACGCCTAAGAGGGTAAGGAAGGAAATAAGCTGCCGAAATCTTCCTTTATTTAAGCGATTCATCCTTTATAGATAATTCCTTAGATAGAAAGAGCTTATAAAGGTATATTATATCTCTTTTTAGAGGAACTATTACTTAGAGAGGTTCGAAGTAAGCTACCGTTATAACTTCTAGTATATAGGCAAAGCTACTAGCTCTTTTAAAAGCGTTAAAAGAAGCGATTTTCCTTAGCTAGCTACTAATATCTCTATAACTATAAACCCTAACCCTATTAGCTATAGAATGCGATAATATATAGACTATACGGATTCTTATAGAGGAAAATAGTAAGCTATCGACCTAGCTATAGTATATTAATATCTATTAGTATTAGTTACGCTAAGAAGTCTAAAGGGGACTTATTTTTATTTATTAGGTTCTAACGGTATTAATAAAAGCTAACGGTCTTACGAAGCCCTTACCGAAGTAGAAGCTAGCTGTCTTTTTATAGTAAATTAGGCTAGAAGACGTTCGAGAGAAGCTATTCTTAGAAGCCCGCCTTAAGAGTCTACGAGAAGAGCTAAAGGTATATAAGAGGAAGGAGACGTCTATAGCTAAAGAGAGGAATTAGGACTTATCCTAAAGGAGGGCCCCTAGCTTAATTAGGACTTATTCTTCTTAAAGGCCCCCTTTTTAGGGACTTATCCTTAGAGAAGCCCCACTTTCTTATAGGACTTAATTTCCTCCTTAGGCCCCTTTTTCCTAAAGTAGGTCTAAAAGAGCCCGGGGCTAAAACCCGGATTTCTCGAGTAAGAGATAGGTATAGACTAAGACCTCCTCTATACGCTTACTAGCCCGAAGCTATATTTAGCTTTACCTTTTCTATAAGGGCAGGCTATAGCTAAGGGGGTGTATCGCAAAGTATAGCTTAATTTCATAGTTCTTAGAGATATCCCTTAGTACGAGGGACCTAGGAAGCTAAAAAACAGGTTTTAAGGAAAGAGCTAAAAAGAGGTATAGAGAGGAGGGTAGGGGTAAGAGGGGAAGCAAAAGTAGCGATAACTTCTTATAGAGGTAGCGAGAGATAAGACGGATATACCGGCAACGGCTAGAAAGGAGGGGAAAACCTAGTAAAAAGCTCGGTAGTTAAAAGGATATTAGTAGCTTCTTTAAGTAGGATCTTCTTTATTAATTAAGATGCTAGATAGGTATAAGGAGGGGCGTTAGATAGAGGAAAGAAGGAGAATTAAGGCAATATAATAATTACTCCCCTACCTTTATTACTGCCCTAGTAAGAATTAAATCTCTCTGCCCTACTTATCCGACCCCTTACTTTTAATTTTACCTTTATATATTTTATATATACCTCTTATATCTCTCTCTTCGCGAGAATTCGGGCTATTTAAGCTCCTTTATACCGTCTAAGTTAGTATATTCCTAAATCTCGTAAGTCTAGCCCTATAATTTAATCCCCTTAATCTATAAGGTCTAATCGAGGCTTTTCCTTAGTCTTACGATATCCCTATCCCCTCTTACTTCCTTTAAAGATATCTTAGGGAAAATAGAGGTTCTAGCTTAATAAGTAATATCCTTCTTTAAGGGATACGTAATTTATATAATTCGTATATTTCTAGTAGTGCTTCCTTAGTATAGCTAGGTTCCTTGCCTTAACACTACGATTTAAGCGTTAAACCGGCGTTAATAGCTCGTAAATAGCTCTAAAGGTAATATCGGCGGGCAAACGATAATCTAGTCGTGCAGACCGGGCTTATAACTCTTAAGCAGGGGCTTAAGAGCATAGTAGAAGAAATAGGGGCATATAAAGGTAAATTAAGTTATGCCTCTCCTAGTCTATCTATTAGGATAAGAGAGGGGCTTATATAGGTACAGTGACCATATATAGCTAGCTAAAAGAGGGCATTAAGATGTTCCTATACCTAAGTTGGGCCTATATAATGTCCTTGGGCTAGGGGAGTTATGTTAGTTAGGCAGGCTTCCTTGTGCATGACTATTGGGTCCACTAGGCATGACTGTGGCCTTTTATGCCCACTCTCCTCAACAGTAACCATATTCTTGCGACGAATAACAGCTATAAGCCTACGGTGTATGTGAGCTTCTCCTCGTACTACGCCCTTGTCTAACGGTTATGCTATGGGTGGAGGGAACTCCGCTGGAAAGGGGACTGTCTTAAAGGTTAAGACATCGCGAAATATGTTCTCGGTGGAGGGGTTTAGGGAAGCGGTCACTGGATTTCGGACCCTCCACCCCGGCGATGGGGAGTACCTCGCTATGTTGGGCTCTGCCGAGGACCAGATCATGGGCTATTGGATGCTCGACCCATCCGTGGAACGTTAAATTGGTAAATTGGAGAACATGGGTAAAATAAAAATTGAGCCGGATCAAACCAAGTTAGTGGAGTACCCAGGTTATAATGCGGAAGCATATAAGAGGCAGGGAGCTACACGTTGGTCGGCTATTACTGGAGAAGAAAATTTTCGCCCAAATAACGTTATGAATTTGTCGCCCTGCCTACTAGGCTTGCAAACACGAGGGGCCACGGGGTGCATATTGACCGACGACCGCCATGGGATCGATAAAAGACTTGGCCACGAAAATAATGTCAATTCAGGGGAAAGCAAAGAGCCTCCTAAAGAGGAAACGGGCAAAACTCCCAAGGATGAGGACCCCGTGAAGGGCAAGCCTGTCATCAACAATGAATGTGTCAGGCCGTCCGTCGACAATGCTTCCCCTTGAGAACCCACGCCGGAAAATGAGCCGCCACCCCCTCGGAAACCTTCACCGGACACACCTGGGGATGAGCCCACCATTCCCAAGGGGGAGACGTCGCCGGAAGTGGCGAAAACGGCCGAGAGCGTGTCACGAAAGGAATTCGCCGCGGGCGCGAACAGTCGCAACTTTACTAAGGTGGTGGAGAAGAGGTGGTCCCTGTCACTCCCCAAGGTGCGCACCTGGTTTCTAGGGAATAAGCTACTCTAACCCAAGGCCCTAAGCTTGGGTACGATTCTGGAGGGTCCTGCTTGGATCAGCGGGATGGTGATGGACTTCACGCAGAATGTGACTGTCTTTGACCGGCTCTCGGCCGTGACATCGATCATACCCATCGTGGGTTGCTTGACGGAGGCAGCAGCGGGGGCAATCCAGGGGCAGGTTGATCGACTCGACAGCGCTTTATGCCTGTTTGGCGACGTCTTGGTGCTAAGCGGTACCGGCGCTCCGTCGGGAGTAACGGTACATTTCGCCCGAGCGATTATTAAGGCGTTCAAGCTACCGCCAAAGCTGCCGACTAAGGAGGAAATAAAAGACTTACGCGACGAAAACTAGAAGGCCTTCCTCGATAATCACCTATATAAGTACCTTGATTCGTACCCGGAAATCTATCCGGATATAGATCCGGAGAATAACTCGACGCTTAGTTTTAGGGCTAAGTTTAAGAGTCCTAATACGATAAACTCTCTGGCCGTCATATCCCTAGGCGGAAAGGGGATTGCCGAGTTAAGTAGGAGGAGCCAGGGAGCCGTCGAGGCTGCGACCTCTAATAAGGAGAAAAGCCAAATCCGAAACAAAACGTAGGAGGCGATTGATCAGATTCGGGCAACTACGTCGACCGAGATCATAAGTCGGCAGCGCCGGTTCTTATTAAATCCCCCAAGTGCTATAAAAGACAATACAACCGTCTCGCTGAAGCCTGCGGCCGAAAAGTACAATAGCGACCTTATTGTAAAATTAAATCTTAAATCCTATAAGATAATCCAAAATTACCCAAATATAGACTAGATGGATCAGCTCGCCGACGCACCTAGTGGCTTCGGAGGGGCTGCGGTTCCCGAAGGCGACTAAAATTTCGGCCTGCCCGCGAGCATATGACAAGCGTTGGGGAATATCAGCAGGGAGAACCGCCACTATTGCCTCGCCTCGACTACCTGGCCTATGTTGTCGGACAGTCGAAAGGATTGGGGAAAGACTCACTAGTCCTACGAGATTCTAAGGTTTCGAGCTAGACCTAACTATTCGACTATCAAATATAGCAAATACCACTCAACCACCACCAAAATAGGGGCACCCCCATATGGAGGTGTTATTAGTATAGTTTATAAGTCTTTGTCCTGCTGACATCGATATATAGTAGCTGTCGCACGTCTGCTTCGAGATAAATCAGCGAAGCTGACCTTGCTAATGATCCAATTTAATACACTCAAGGTTTTCCAGGACTTCAAATTCTTATTGCTATAAAATATAGAAAGCGAGTTAAAGAATAGAAGATGTATAAGTCTAAAAGAGAATGGGAAGCTTGCTAATACCCCTATTCGACTGGATATCCCTTTGCATCTGCAAAGCTGGATAAATATCGGTCTCGTCCGTTGGTTCCTCTAGTTGCGAGTCTAGAAGATAGTTATTCTTCTTAAGCCTAGCGAAGCTGTTGTTAGTTTTACGGTTTGTTATATTAAGGCAGGAATAGACAAATCTGTTCGAATTCTTTATAAAGAAATTATTAAATCTCATAAGGCTATTCTTACCGTCAATACACACCCGGCTAACCCACCACAGCCAGCATCAACAGGTAAGAGACAACTGCGACAGAAGTTCGCCAAAGATAAGACTAACGGATATAATAAAGAAGCAAGAATTAACTGTATTCGAGCAAAAAAAGGTAACGACATTAAACGATTGGAGTATGCAAAAATGGCTAGGAGTGTTTCGAGGAACAGTTAAAGTTTGTCGAGCCCAGCATGCGTCAGACAACTCTAACCCAGAGGCGACTCAGGGCGACAAGGAAAAAGCCTAAGAGACCGGCCAGAAGCCCAAAGACTACCGGTATATACTATCTGGGATATCCTCCACGAGAAAAAGACGTGCTAGGCTAGTTATAGGACTATATGACAAGATGAGGGTGCTCACCCGGGACCCGTCACGCGTTTCTTACTTCTACCTCCTTATCTATGGATTCATGGGCTCTGCAGCCACTCGGATGCTCTGGTCCCTTCCCCCGTTTACAATTCGTCAACCAGGGGGCTTGGACCCTGGGGCATCCCCAACTTATCCTCAAAATGCATCCTGAGAGCCTCCACCCGCCCGCGGTCAGCCATCCACCTCATATACTCGGCCGGGTTGGTGCTGGTCATGTCAAGGATGGTTGGGAAGCTACCAGGGGGCTTAATATCGCTGCGAGCACTCCACTGCGACATGTTCCTCTGGAAGTCGTCGCTCAGCAAGAAGTTACTGAACAGCTTGGCACTCTCGGGATGCGGGGCGTCTTTGTAAATCGCGATGGATCGGGGCCAGCTGACGAACTTGCCCTGGGTCGGGAACGAAAAGCTCAAGCTCGAATTTCCGGCTGGCATCAATCCCACTCCGGCAGTAAAGGTGACCGACTGCGTACTATTCGGCTGCCTAAGGATGGCCAAGGGACTAGCCGTTCCTCGAACCCAACGGGGGTTCTGTTTTAAGAGCCCCTCGAACCACTCATAGCCATATTGGTTCATGCTAAGTCAAACATTTAGTAAATAAGGATCTTGAGCTGGTAAAGTAAGGGTTTACCTACACTAGATCGAATATGTAGGCAATCGCGTCGTCATCACTAGGGTGCGTGAGGACTAGCTTATCCTTATACTCTGGTTTCAAAAAGTCGGGCCATTCCCGCGGCGGGTTACGGAGCTTCGCCGGGTTCCAGACGGTCGACCAAGCGTTGATAGCGAACCCATAATAGGCAGCCCGTATATGACGGAAGGGCGGGGAGACTTTGAAAAAGTTGTTTGGCGCATAGTGCAGCAACGCACCTTGCTGATCCCATCGGGGGTAGTCATGCAAGGCTTGGAGAATGGAGACGTCAACCTCGACTTTGTTGGTAGCCAGCTGGCGATCGATATCGACGGTATGGTACTTGGAGCGGTTGACGGTGGCGTTAAGTGTCATGCCAGGGAACCGAGACTCGAAGGCACGTTTCAGGCGATCCTGCTGGTTTACTTCGTCACCGCCATGCAAGCAGTTGACGACACCGCCCTCGGCCAAAGCAACCTTGTATATCTGCTCGATGGTTCTGTTTTCGTTGATCTGGGGCCTGTTGAAGCCAAGCGAGATATCGTAGGCAGCACTGGCCTGGGCCACGAGCGCAAAGGGAACTAAGGCACCGAGAATCATGATGGTGGTGGGTTGGATTTAGCGTAGGAATGCTGAATCCAGCAAAAGAACGTCGAGGCTATGAAAAACTAAAATGCTGAATTTAGTAAAGTAATGGTGAGTTTAGTGATGGACTACTGGACCAAACGAAGGACTGAACATTCACGTTCTGGCTTGGGTTGCACTTGGTGAACTACAGTAATCGGCAATGGCCGGGAGTCTTATATGTATCTTCCATCTCCGTCTCATAATAGGACAACTTGACAAGTGACTAGCCTTTAGTTCGCTGTCTAGATATGCCTGTAAACGTAGGGGAATAGCTCAACTAGGGTAAGAACCGCCGACTTAGCCGAAAAAGGTCTATGCCAAGTTGTCGAAGCATGGTAACGTGAGTGTTTTGTGGAGTACGTGAGTGGCGGAGCAAGCCTGCCACATCATATGCCCCTTCATTCACTAATTTACCTAGGGTTTATGCTTATCTTATTTCATGCATCATGAATCATCATGGCATTTGTTAGATGACCAGGGTTTCCTAGCTTGATTGACTCGGAAAAACTCGCCCTTTCATGAAATCCCAACTCGCACACATCTCTATTTGCACTTATGCCATCAACGCCAGCCCGGCAAGTAGCCGTATAGCCTAAATGCCCTCATTAGCACATGCGCCCGCCCGCATACACACACACACTGCCCACACTTAGCGCTCTTGGCCATAGCTTAAATTCGTCTAAAAGCGTATCTTTGACCGGCCCTCTGGCCCCCTACGGCTGCGTGGGCGGGCGCGGCCACATAATTGCCTCCCATCTAATGACTCTTCTAACGCCTAATAAAGTGAGCCGCCCTAACGATGCCGCCCCTAACGAAGCGAGCTATCTTAACGATGCCGTAGCCGCGCCACCCCTGCTGCGATCTCCTCTTAATTCCCTTCCCTTAATATTTCTTTGGCCGGACGATCGTTATAGTGACGCTATAAGAGACCTCAGACTGCGTAAGGGGGTCTCTAACGGGACTATCCTAGAGGCCGTATATCGAGAACTAGCTTAGTAGATATCTAATTAGAGTAGAAGTAGATTCGTCGTAGAAAGGTTATTTAAGACTCGGATAATGCCCCTACGACCCCTCTCCTTATTAGTTCTCGACTACGCTAATACGGTGCGCGGTTAGTAGTGCTATCTCGGGCGTCTCTTAGCTGCTAGGTAGTAACTTTATCTTAATATAAGGTTATAGAGAAAGGTTAATTCCTAGTTACTAGTAACTCCGTTTTCCCCTATAAACTATTCCTTACTAATAGCGTCTATAGTAAGTCCTAGCTCTATATATTTTAACTAATAGCTAACGTAGCTAGTAAATTTCTTTTATATTATAGTAGCTTCGTCCCTTAATCTAATATAATAAATAGATAGCTCTACCTATAGCTGCCGTTAACGATTATACTATATAGAAGTAGCCGGTCGCTATATAGATATCGCGCTAGTAAAGTAAACTATTAAGTAGATATCTTTATTAGGATATATAAGCAGCTATTCTTTAATAGCTAGGATATTAACCGTCTACGATAGGTAGACCTTAGGGACTATTAGTAGTAGGTACTTATAGCGGTTTATAATAGGCTCGTTAATCCGGCTAAGACTAAGTTCTAATTACTAATTAAACGAATTAACTAATATAAGGCTTTAGGTTATTATATTTCGGATCCGGGATATATTATTAGCCGTTGCCTAGCCTAGTAAAGGCCGATGCCGACTATATATAAAGGCAGGCTTAAAAAACGTCTTTTTAGCTAACTTTTCGAAACTAAGCCTAAAATATAGAAAAAAATATATACTTAGAGTCCTCGAGAATAGCGTATTACGCCCCCCTAAGTATAGCCTCGCGTAGCTACTAGCGGGTGCGTAATATACTACTAAAGATTGCGAATTAAGCGAGGTTTAACCTTATATAAGTAGAAAACTTTTCCCCGCCCTCCCTAACTAAGGGTATATGCCCCTAGCTAAAGGGACCTAGCCTAGACCCGACCTAGGACCCTAGCCTAGGCCTAAGGAGGGCCCCTTTAACCCCCCTCCCCCCCTTAACTTAAGGGCCGCTTTAAAAGGCTAATGCCTTTTAAAGACCTTAAAAGAAAGGCCTAAGGCTTAAGACTAAGCTTAAGAGGATACTAAGATAAAAGATAATACCTAGCCTATACTAAAGACTAGCTTCTTTAGGCCTAGCTTAGCCCTGCCTTAGTCTAGCTACTTTTAACTTAACTAGACTTTAAAGTAGGTAAAGAGGTAAAAGAGAGCTACCCTTAGTAGCTCTATTAGCCCTATACTTATCTAACCTATATTTTAATACTTATAGTAGACCTAGCCCTAGCCCTAGCACCCCTTTCCTAGGGACTAGGCCTAAGGCTTCCTTTAATAAGCCTTCTAAGCCCTTAAGGAAGCTAAAAAATTAAATCCTTTTATAAGACCCTTATAAAAGGGCTCGAGAAGGCAGCTATAGGGACCCTAGACTATTAATAACCCTATAATACTCCCCGTACTAGCCTAAGGCCGCTTAGTAGCTTAAGACTACTTAAGGAAACCTTAAAGCTAGCTTATAGGCTAAGGTTACTATAAAGAAAGCGCTTAAGGCCCCGACTAAGGCCTTAGCTAAGAGGTATATAAAGGAGGACTTCTAACTTATCTTAAAGCTAAAAAAGGGATTACTAACGCTAACTATTAGCCCTATTACTCTTTAAAATAAGCTTAATAAGGCTTTAAAGGAACTAGCTATATTTCTTATAAAGAGAGATATAAGAAGTATATATATAATATATAAAGGTAAAATTAAAAGTAAGGGGTTAGATAGGCAGGGCAGAGATATTTAATTCTTACTAGGGTAGTAATTACGGTAAGGGAGTAATTATTATATTACCTTAATTATCCTTCTTTCCTCTATTTAATGCCCCTCTTTATACCTATCTAGTATCTTAATTAATAAAGAAGATCCTACTTAAAGAAGCTACTAATATCCTTTTAACTACTAAGCTTTTTACTAGTTTTTCCCTTCCTTTCTAGCTATTACTAGTATATCCGTCTTATCTCTCGCTACCTTTATAGGAAGCTATCGCTACTTTTACTTCCCTTTATACCCCTACCCTCCTTTCTATACCTTTTTTTAGCTCCTTCTTCCTTTTTCTATATTAAGTATTTTTAGCTTCCTTAGTCCCTCTTACTAAGGGATATCTCTAAGAACTACGAAATTAGGCTACGCTTTATAATATACCCCCTTAGCTATAGCCTGCCCTTATAGAAAGGGTAACGCTAAATAATTAGGCCGGTAAGCGTATAGAGGAGGTCTTAGTTTATACTTAGCCCTTACTTAAGAAATCCGGGTTTTAGCCCTAGGCTTTTTTAAACCTACTTTTTAGGAAAAGGGGCCTAAGGAGGATAATAAGTCCTATAAAAAAGGGGTCCTTCTCTAAGGATAAATCCTTAAAAAGGGGCCTTTAAGAAGAATAAGTCTTAATTAAGCTAAGGGCCCTCCTTTAAGATAAGTCCTAGTTCCTCTCTTTAGCTATAGACGTCTCTTTCTTCTTACGTACTATTAGCTCCTCTTATAGACTCTTAAGGCGGGCTTTTAAGGATAGCTTCTCTTAAACGTCTTCTAGCTTAATTTACTATAAAAAGATAGCTAGCCTTTACTTTAGTAATAGCTTTATAAGACCGTTAGCTTTTATTAATACTATTAAAACCTAACGGATAGAAATAAGTCCCCTCTCGACCTCTTAGTATAACTAATACTAATAAATATCGATATACTATAGCTAGGTCGATAGCTTACTATTTTCCTTTATAAGAATTCGTATAGTCTATGTATTATTATATTCTATAGCTAATAGGGACGGAATTTATAGTTATAAAGATATTAGTAGCTAGCTAAGGAAAATCGCTTCTTTTAATGCTTTTAAAAGAGCTAGTAGCTTTACCTCTATACTTAAAGTTATAATAGTAGCTTACTTTAAAGCTCTCTAAGTAATAGTTCCTTTAAAAAGGGATATAATATACTCTTATAAGCTCTTTCTATTTAAGGAATTATCTATAAAGGACGAATCGCTTAAATAAAGGAAGATTTTAGTAGCTAGTTTCCTTCCCTATCTTCTTAGGCATAGACTATATAATCTTATTAAATAGATATAAAGGATAGCTTTATCTACTACTTCTTAATACCTAGGGCTAGGATTCTAGTTATATCTAGCTAGCTAGGAGACTATAAAAGAGATATCCGGTCTAGTAGAAATAGCTAAAAAAAAGAGTAGGGAGCCTACTTTCTATTAATATCGGTATTTCTCTTACTCCCTAGCTTAAAAGGATAGATTACGTAAAAGCTCTTTATTTAATATAGGCATAAAGGGAAGCTATAAGAGCGCTACTAAGAGGTATAAGCTAATAAAGTACTTATATACTACTAATATATTAGTAAGGTATTAATAAGGAATCGTACTTACCTTACTTATAAGTTATAGACTACTTACTACTTTAATAAAAGAAGAGAAATCCCTTTTCTTATACGCTTTAGTCTTATAATAAGGAGAATAAAATATATATAGTATAGTACCTCTAGCTATCTCTACTACCTAACTAATCGTACTATAATATATATTCCCTTATAATTTTTAAAGCTTCCTTTTTTAGTTACTTAGTAAAGATAGCTACTTAAAAAAGACTATATAACGCTCTTATAGCATAATATAGTAGTTAACTAGTTAAGGCCTCTTTATTATATATATTAAGTATCTACTTAAGAGATAAAGAATAAGAAGATATATCCTTAAAATAGACCCTTATTATAGATAGTATTATAACTATATTAAAGATATCGCTACTTATAAGTATAAGATAACCGTCTTATAAGGAAAAGCTTATAGCTTTATAAGCACGCGTTAAGGAGCTAAAGGAGATAAAACGCCTATAAGATCGTATTATATAATTAAAGGAGGGAATTACTAAACGCGCCGGTACTATCGCTATCTATTTAAGGAAGCGTCGATAGTCCTA